AATCTAGTTTTTTTTGCTCTAAAACCACTCCATACTGCACACCAGAAAGAAGGAAGGAGAACCAACCAGGGGATTCAGTTCCTCTATTCAAACTAATGTGTGGTTGCAGGCACACCAGTGTCACTAAACACAGACAGTTGTAACATGGAGGAAGCTTATCTAATATACTTTGAGTCATAAATGATAAATAAATTTATCTTGAATTCGTCTGCTCTTAACCAGAATTCTAAAATAATGACTTTTCTTTTAGTAGAGTTACTTTGAAAAGAGCTGAAAATGGGACAGCAGTTTATACTAAGTCAGCAGAAAAAGAACAGTATTTCTGCAATGAAAACTTTCATTTTCATACTCTTAAAAGTAAATTGTTCTTTATTAGGTTTGTTTTCTTTTCCCAAAACATATCAAAATATTAACTCACTCTTTATTGCAAAGCAGCCTGTGAGGTTTGCTTACTGTTTATATTTTTCAAAAGAAAATGTCATAAGTCACTGAATTCTGTACATTCCTTCTTCAGAAGGAACTGATAGTTGTATAATGTGCCTGCAAACTGGGACCAAACTCTCTCTTACCACTGGAGAATGACCAGGAATATATCACCCTTCTGTACTGGAAACCCTGATTCAGGTGCCCAGAATAAGAAGTCTGGAAAAAAGGTTCTCTAACTCACATTGTGTTGCCTTTAGTATGCCCTTAGATTACCTTTTCTTCATAACCAAGGAAACTTCCTTTCTCTCTCCTCTTTGTCCAAGTGAGTTCATGTTCTTATGTTATCAATAGATAGCAGAATCTGGAGTCGGGATTTAAAAAATACCCGAAGCCTCATGATAGTATCTCAAGAGATAGCAGTGGTAGCATTTTTATAGACTAAGCAAGTAGAAATTTGGTACTTCTACACTTAACTGCTCAGTGACTCCTATAGTATTTTTAATATATTTTGTTCTGTCATTTGTAAACACAATTATTATACTGCTTTAATGTCTGCCTTTTAGAAGCTGCCCACCTCTGTCTGAAAAAGATTTATTTCCCTTTTCTCAACTTTCATCCATGCATTCATGTTGCAGAGTTTTCTGTTTAGTTATAGTGCTTATCTAAAGTTACCCTGTTGGCAATTTGAAGATTTCAATCACTTATTTTCTGAAAGGTCATTTTCTTTTCTTGCTGAGTGCTAGCTGAGATTTTCCCCTGCTATTCTGTATTAATTAATCCTCTTATATCCTTTATCAAAGTTACTGTGTTTTCCAAGATGTTTTTTCTATTACTTTGATGTGCTCCAGATTGGATAGATGTGTAGATGTGATGTGAGTCTAACAGGTCCCTCATAACGCTGAAACAGTTTCCTGACTTTTGTTGAGCGCTTGGTTTTATGATATAATTTTCAACTTTTTCTTTTTTTTTTTTTTTGCCTATGAGCCTACCTCTGTTTTTTGTCGCCCTAGTTTTCAGCTGGTGTAGTTTCACTGAATCAGCCTATAGTAAAATGAAGGTACTACTACAGAATAGGGAATGGACCATAGAGTTCAATTCTCGGAGTTTTGGAATGGCTTTTTCTTCCTGCAGTGAAGCAGGTCTCCATTTCAGATGTGCTTGGCAACAGGGGTCTTAGAATAGGTCAGTTACTCAAAAGGAATTAAACCAGAGTCACGGAGTCTGAACATATTTGCTAGGATCTTTTTATTTTAGTCTCTACACAAAAACAGTGTTTTGTGAGCAATATACAGAAAGCTGCAAACAGAAGAATTTCACATAGGGGGAGCCTTTCTATCTCAGATGTACATTCAGTGGGTAGGTTCGTTATCCAGATTTGGTTGTATTGTCCCCTGTGCTCATCAAACAATTGTTGTACCTTGTCTTATCTGTTACAGAGTGGCATCATCCTTCTTGTTCTTACATTTAAGCAGTCTCTAGCTCAGGAGCCATTAACCCTAGGACCTTTTGTAGCTGTTCTGCAATCTAGAGGAACTGCTTGACAAAATTTGAAAAAATGGCATCCTCTCAGTCTGGTCTGTGTCTAGGTTTCCATTTGTAAAGAAAAGGCTTAACCTCCACAGACTGTTTAATGAATGTGCAAACATTTCACCATAGTGGTATGTTGTAAGTAGGCATGTGCAGTGTGTTTTGGAGAATATTTTGCTTGCTTAAATTTCTGTAGGATTCCTATGAAATGCTTTGTGGAATATACTCCAGTTAAGGGATATAAAAATTCCTTTTATTATTTTAATATAGTAGCATGTATTGTTGATTTGTAGAAAAATTTAAAGAGCAAACTGGTCTTTTTTGTTAAGAAGGTTCATTTATAAACAATGCAGATTGTATAGACTAAATAAATGTCAGACCTAATGTTTTACAGATGGTGAGAGATGTATAGACACAAGGAGCTATGAAAAATATTTTCCAGTTTTTTAAAATTCAGCATGTGCATGTTTTCTACTTCAGACTGATTTATTTAGGCTTGCAGAAATGGAAAGCTGTATTTGATTAGATCATTATCATCTCTCTAGTTACCACAGACATGCACAGTGCTATAAAACGAACTGTAATTTATATATCTGTTAATATCTTCATGTTGTGTTGTAACTACCTCTTGTTCTGTTCTTGTGTATCCTCCCTCCAGAAATGAAAGAATTTGTTGGTATTTTGGTTTTGCAAACATTTATTGTTAAAGGGTTTCTTAAAAAAAAAAAAAAAAAGCCTTGAATATACTTTAAAATTCTTCTTATCGTTACTTAAAATTTTTATTTTTGATTGTGACAATGATTTGTAGGTGTCAGTAACACAAATACCAGTCTTTGTACATAAACAGTCATAACATAAACAGTCCTTTTTTGGTCCTTTCCTTTGCTCTAACAGATGTTTTGCTCCCACAGATGTTTTGTATTTTTAAAACTAAGAATGTAATTGTGTAAAAGCGTGGAGGAGACTTCATTGAATATAGCCCTGCTTTTACTATCTGCAGAATCTTGCTCCATGGGTAGAATGGTCCTGTTAGTAAAAAACCTGGTCGCTGATTAAAATAAAAAAGCCTATTTTTTTTTTTTTTTGAAATGGGACCTCTCCCCTTTTAAACTTCAAAAGATTTTACCCCTTCATGATCAGTATGGCTCTTTGCTTTGTTGCACATTTCCTGTCATAGTTTGCTGCCACCCCTTATCCTCTGCCCTTTGGCCAGTTAAGATTATACTAGGAGTTATGATATAAAATGTAATTTGGATATATAGCTCAATTATGCTACTTATCAGGCCGATTTATCTTTGTTAATTGCCATTCATATCTACTATTTGTTTTATCACAATTTTTTTAATGTTAAAAACCTTGAAACTAATTTTTGTAATGTTCTGTCAAATTTTTTAATTGACATGCCTCTGTGTTATTGAGATCAAGCGTGTGCCATGGGTGGTGTTGGTACACTAAGGCATAGATGTGAGAAATGCAATGGATGCTTGGAGTTACAGAAAATAATAAAACTGATCGAGGAACACCACTGATATTTTGGGTCACAGTTGCAACAGCGATAAAGAGTTTAAGACTCTTTGTTTACCACTTCAGGATGATTTAATACAGATTAAAAGAAATACCCTAATTTGCTTCAGTATACAGTCTATCCATCAAAATTTCTCCCACCTTTTGATAGATGTGGGGCTATTTTTTTTCCTAAAGTATTTGCAGTATTATTTTGCTACTTGTTTAACTTCTTCACTGGGAATCAGAAATAGCTGTTCTTGAGTGATGGTGGATGATGTGATGTTTGAATTTTATAAGCTATCTTGGGATCCAGTGAATAAGAAATTTATGGTGATTCTACTAGCTATTTGGTGGTTTAAAAGTAATAGTATTTTAATTAGTTTTTGAATAATATTTTCCAGTTTTCAAGCATTTTTTAATTTCTGTTTTCATCTTGGTTCCTCCTTAAATGTAGTGTTTAATTGTATTTGTTAGGGCTTCTATTACCTTTCATCACTCCCAAGAACTATTAAAATTATACACTAATGAAACAGTAATCTCCTCTCTGATCTACTACACAGCAGCAGAAATGGCCAGCTGTGATTAGAATAGAAACACTGCATGGAAAATTTGCCATCAAGATACAAAAGGGATTGTTGTGTTTTTTTTTTTTTTTCAAAATCACAATAAGAAAAACTGTGATAAAATATAATAGTATATGATCAGTATAAATAATTTTTTAAAACAAATTTTCATATCTGGATAATTATGCAGATAATATTAGTGTGGTAGAAAACATGTTAATACACTAACTCTGAATTGTATTCCAGAATTCTTTGAAGACACATGTATATTTTTTTGTGTGTAAGACTAGACTAAGACTAGAAGGAGAGGCGTTAAAAAGTTGTAAATATATTTTAACTGAGAGCTGGTTTTGAAACTATGATTCACTAGTGACAAATGTTGAAATCTTCAAAAGCAAGATGACTGTTCATTTTTCATAGGTGAAGGAGCCTGTTCATCTGCCTGCCAACCTTTGTATATGAGGTGAAAATCTAAACCCACTAGGGTTTATGATTGTTATTCTTCTTTTAAGAGATGAAATGAAGATTAACAACCTAGATAATTGTTTTGCACAAATCTGGAGGTTGAAAATGCCTTGGTACCAGTGAAAATAAGCTATTGTATGAGATGACAACTAGGCATAGATAGGTGGTCTCCAGATAACTTGGAAAGAAAGACTTTGAGAATTAGGTCCTGAAATCATGAACAATCAATGACGTGTGAGAGAAGAAAATGGAGTACTAGGGAACACTTTCTTGATGAGTTGCTTTGCCAAGCAATGCATAGCATTGTTCAGCATCCTGTGGTTTCTGAAGTGTGGTGTTTTCATATTTTTGTGAAGAGAATTAAAAGATTTGAAGCTAGAAGTGAAAAATTCATGGATAGCTGATGCTACTTGCAAACTTGAAAATCTGTGCCATCTTCAGGCAAAATTTTGATGAGAAAACTTTAGAATCGTGAAAACTGCAAGGATAATCTCAAGTTTTTTCTTCTCCTAGTGTTGGAGTATGAGGTCCATGTATACACGGGTGCTGAACTTGGTGCTGAAACAGATTCCAAAGTTTATATCAACCTCATTGGGACAAGAGGAGATGCTGGCAAGAGGAAGCTCCACAGATCTAAGAATAATAATGTAAAATTTCGACGTGGACAGGTGAAGTAAAAACAATGCTACTTCTGATCAGTAAGAGTAACTTATGCCTGCCAAACAAGTGTAAATATCTTTTTTTATAAGATTTATTCAAGCATTTACCATTTTCTTTATTCAAAACTACTTACATAGTTACATCATATGGATGATTTTTATCTGCTCAATCAACCATTTACTGAGAGCATTAAAGAGCAGAATTTGAGTATTCTTTGTTGTTTGTATTGCTTGTATGGATAAAACGGTAACAATATCATTTTTATTCTCCTGAACAGATCACCATGAATTTTAGAATCAAGTTCAAAATGCATATTTCTAGGTTTTCCACTCTTGCTGAGGCAGATAGCACTAGAAAGTGTAAGATAGAGATGACTAAATAATTATTTGCAACTGATCATTATGTCTTGCCAAAGGAATTGAGGTGTTAGTCAACTCAGAAAGATTTAAAGGATCCTCACTGTCTGGCCAGTATAAAACTACTATATTCATTTTGGAAAAGAAGAAAAAAAGAAAGAGAGAGGAAAAACGAGCTATTCTACACTGTTATAGTCAAAGCAATAGCTGTGTTCAAGACCTTTACAATTTTCCTTGTATGGTTCCACAGATGGATATTTTCTGCATAAAGGCTGTCTCACTGGGAGACTTGGAGAAAGTTCTGATTAGCCATGATGGAGCTGGTCCAGGTAGGATTTAACTTCCTAGAGACCAATCTGTTTTCAAGCCCTTTTTAAACCCAGTGCACTTTGTTTATATTGCGTCCTTCATACAAAATGTGACAGAAGGTCTTGCAGTGATAAAAAGATTTCCTGCAGGCTGATCACTGTGACGGGATGATGAGAAACAGTGGTAATGGACAGAAAAATGGACATGAGTTTGATGTCAAATGCTGTCATTCCACTCTTCGTTTTCAAGATTATTTATAATAGAGTACTATTTCTTTGCATATAGAAAACTTTCAAAATGTGTTTCCCATTGGTAAGACAATCCTTCATTAGACAAACAGTAAAAACTGGTGAGAATGGAATTAAAGATATTCAGCTGCTGCTTTTCTACCAGAAAAAATTTGAGTAGCTCTAGCATAATGCCCTTGCTGCTTTGGGCAACAGTAGAAGATTTGATTATTTACTTAATCTGTGTAAATCAATGTGGAGCTGTTCCAGTGAGGGACATTACATTTGGCTTGTAGGTTTTTCAGAATAAAAGAGAAAATTTGGTGATGAGATGAATTTTGGGTACAGGCCCTCGAAGCGTGCATGATGTAAATGAAGAGAAAGCTAGCATTTAAAAGCACTGAAGATGTAAATACCAAAAATATGTTTGCTGATTAATATCTAGGAAGAAGCTAAGTGAAGGGAAGAATTTTTAAAGCCACACTGATAACAGATTAGAAAATCCATTTTACCCTAGTCAGTTCTGAAATGGCCTTAAGCAACACCCATCTTGCTGACTGTACTGCCTAAGGCTCTGAGTAGAGCCTTGTGACTACTACAGAAATAGTCTTAATAGTGCAGCCTTAGAATGGGGCATTCTAGTTCTCTAGAGTTTTCTGCCTTCAGCAAAATGCACGATTGTATACCTGAGAGTTTCCTAGCCTAGTAGCCCAAGACATAACACAGAAAGCAGTGCGGTTGAACCCACCTTTCCCTCTATTCCCCAGGACACCATACCATGTTCTCTTCCCTCGCCTCTCCTTTAATAGGCAGTTCAGCCTTATCACAGGATCAACGCTGCAAATCTGTAACCCAGTTCAGCTATTTTAATCTGTTCTTTGACACTGGAGTCCAAATCTGTGGGTTTGGAGGACTGTCTAAACAGGACAATGAATTGAATTCTGCCTGTAACAAAATTTATGCTCAGTAATTCAGATGATTGTTCATTGTATTTAGCACACACAGATCTCACAGACCTCTTTTGAACTGTATTCAAAACTAGCCCCACATAAGCCTGGCCTTAGGTGACTTGGGAGTTGAGAGCTGGAAAAGGATGGTGACTCAGGAGAGAGGCCATCAAGAGACCCAATCACTTGAGGGTTGAGAGGGAGGAAAGAGAGTGCCCTTAGAGGTGGGGCTACTCTTTCTTCTTTTCCTATCACTTGCTTTATGAAAGGGCAGGAAGGTCCTTGGTCTTGATTTGAAGACTGACTTGAAAGGATCCTGGAATATACTTTTTCTTCAGGGCTCCTAAAGTACAGGGTACAGAGCTTCTCCCACAGACACTGTGAATGAGGAAAGTAAAGGAATTTTTTCCTAGAGAGCAGGGTTTGGGTACCGGTCTGGTGTGAGTCACTGGGTGATTTGTCTTACCTGCTGAAAGAAGCTTTTCATCCATAGAAACCTTTCATATATACCTCTATACTTAGGCAGTGCCTTTCAGCTTTTTTGGTCTTTTTCAAATTGACCTGTCTGATTTCTGGTTAATCTTGGCCTGGCTAGTAGGTTTTTTCCAATGGCAGAGTAGTGAGGTGTAAGAGGGTGACAGAAGCAGCTTGCAAAGTGTCCTAATGTGCCCTGGGCCTGAAATCCTGAAGGGAAATGCCATTCTGTTCCACGCATTGCCTGGGCATGCCCTGCCTCTGTGTCAGAAACTGCTGCCTTTTAGAGGCTTCCAGACTCAGATGCAGCCAGGGATGCAGAGCATGAGAATAAATAGGATGATTGTTTCTTCTGACCAAAAAGATCCCTCATGCTGTTTTTCTACAATGTGCTGATAGGTAATGATATGAGTCAGGCAAAACCTCGTAAACAATATGACAAGTTGTGAGAAGTGCAGCCATGGTGAGAAGGGTGTCACAAGGAGAACTATACCAGTCACTAGGATCGTTACTGGAAGTGATCTGAAAGATCAGCATGGATGTACCAGTGACTACTGCTGTTAGGCAGAGGATGAATTCAGTAGCCGGGCAGAAGTGAGGCTGCACAGCTCCATGCCTGCAAGGCTGAGTATGTGTTCCCAGTAGATATGCACACAAACACATTTATAAAACACATGTATGTCTGTACATGGCCGGCCACGGGGGACAACACAGACAGGAGCTCAGCCCATACACAGATAGTAACAATGCCCTTGTCCTGTTACCTTCTCCAGCTGAACAGAGTAACAGTCCATCAATGTCAAATATAAAAAATTTATACAGTATGAATGTATAGGACCTCCAGTAACTGGCCTTAGGCACTCAGTCTATCTGGTTGCTTTCCCTGGATGCATGAATCCTCAGTTTTGCCAGTTTCTGGCACCTAGGCATGCAAAGCTCTGCCAAGGCTGCAGCCCCACTCCATTTGCATGACAGCATTAGTTTTAAAGATTTGTTAATTCATATAATATTTTTATATGAGCAATAAGGAGTTCACTCACAGAGGACCAAAATTTCCAGCATTCACACAAATCTTGATTATTTGAATAAATAGATTTGTGCAAACATTCTTGTGCCTGATTACAAGGAACCAAAAGATATGGGCTGGGATGAGAACAGCATGGACAATGCAGCGATGTATGCATGTATTTGTCTCCAAGGGAAAAAACCCATCCCTCTTAAAACAGACAGAGAAGAATTGCATCTCTTACAAGAGATACAAAATAATAAAGTTTCATTCTGTTGATATATCTTATCTATGTAGCTGAGATCTGTCTTAATATGATCTGTGTTTTTTGCTAAAAAAAATGTAATATGGGCTTTTTTCAAAAAATTTATTAAAAAAAATCAAAAAGGCATGATTTCACATGATACACTTTTGTCATTTCAACACAGGCAATGGATGGTTCCTGGATAAGATTGTCATCAAACATAAAGAAGGAGAGGAAGCTCGGGAGGTTGTATTTCCTTGTAATAGGTATGCTATTCATGGAGAAAAAGAATTTGTTACCTGCCAGCAAAAAATTGCAGAATGGATATGTGCACACAACGTAGGTGTATAAGCAATGCCCTGGAGTTTTTCAACATACAAGGGATGCAAAATTGTGCGATTGAAGACAAGAAACAAATTTGCTATATTGACATAGGAGGGAGTCATAGCCTAAAGCAAAGAAGCCCAAAACTAAATGTTTCATGAGAGGAAAGGTGCACTGATCTTTTGGTTTAATCTAAATTATACAGTGATCATGTGAAATTACTTAAGCTTTCAGTTCTCAATCTTTTAAGAAGTATTGTGTACAAAGAAATGAAATTATATGGATGCCATCATGCAAACATGGTGGGATGACTCACACAGTTGAAGTGCTGCAATGGATGGCTGCAAATTCTTCAGCAGAGGTAGGCAAGGAAGGAAAGGTGATGGGGTAGCCCTGTATGTTAAGTGTTTTGATTGTCTAGAACTTGATGATGGTGATGAGAAGGTAGAGTGTTTATGGGCAAGAATCAGGGAGAAGGCCAAGGCAGGAGTCGTGGTAGAAGGCTGTTATAGACCACCCAGCCAGGATGAAGCAGCAGATGACGTAAGCAGCTGGGAAAAGTCTCACAGCCACTAGCCCTTGTTTTCATGAGGGATTTGTGTCTGCTGCAAATACATCACAGCAGAGGGGAAGCAGTCTAGGAGGTTCCTGGAGTTTGTAGAAGCAAACCTTCTGACAGAGCTGGTGAGGGAGCCAGCTAGGGAAGATGTCCACTGGATCACTGTTAGTGAGCAGAGAGGGACTGATGGGTGATATAATGGTTGGAGGCCATTTTGGACACAGAAATCATGAAATTATAAGAGGTTTTGATTCTCAGAGAAGTAAGGGTGAGCAGAACTGCCACTCTGATATTTTGGAGAGAAGACTTGGGCCTGTTTAGGAGACTGGTTCACAGAATCCCTTGGGAGGCTTTCGAGGAAGACTGGACATTCTTTGGGAAGGAAATCTTACAGGCACAGGAACAGGCCATTGCCATGTGCTGCAAGACGAGCTGGGGGTGAAGAAGACCAGCCTGGCTGGACAGAGATTTTTGGTTGGAACTCAGGAATGAAAGGAGGGTTTATGACCTTTGGAAGAAGGGGCAGGCAGCTGTTGTGATGTTATGCAGGGAGAAAATCAGAAGGGCCAAAACCTAACTAAAAATTAATCTTGCTGTAAAAGACAAAAAACCAAACCAAACCAAACCAAACCAAAAACCCCAAAACAAAAACCTCCAACAAACCAAACCAAACCAAAAACAAACAAAAAAAATCCCACACACAGCAGAAACAAAAGGAGAGTAAGAGAGAATCTCCCTCCTTTATTGTGTGTGAGGGTCAACAGTAACAAAGGATGAGGGAAAGGCTGAGGAACTTAATTCATTCTTTGCCTTTAACAGTAATACCAGTTGTTCTCCTGGTATCCAGTCCCCTGAGCTAGAAGAAAGGTAGGGGAAAAAGAATGAATCCCATACAATCCAATGGGAAATAGCAACCTGCTACAGCACTAAACCATATACAAGACTATGGGGCTGGATGTGATTCACACAAGGGTACTGAGGGAGATGCACATGGGTCACAACAGCCCTCTGCAATGCTACAGACTTGGGGATGAGCGGCTGGAAAGCTGTCTGGTGGAAAAGAAGTTGAGGTGCTGGTCAACTGTACTGAACATGAGCCAGCAGTGTGACCTTGTGGCCAAGAAGGCAATGGCATCCTGGTTTGTATCAGCAATAGTAGGGTCAGCAGGATGAGGGAAGTGATTATCCCCCCCTGTACTCAGCACTGGAGAGGCTGTGTCTCAAACCCTGTGTCCAGTTCTGGGCTCCTGACTACAAGAAGTACGTTGAGGAGCTGGAGCATGTCAGAGAAGTGCAGTGAAGCTGTTGAAGGGTCTAGAACACGAGCTCTGTGAGGAGAAGTTGAGGGTACTTGGAGTTTACTCTAGAGAAAAGGAGACTCAGTGGGAACTTTATTGCTCTCTGCAACAAAGGAGGTTGTGGTGAGGTGGAGATTGGTCTCTCCTCCCAAGAGTAATGACTGAAAGGATGAAAGAAAATGGCCCCAAGTTGTGTCCAGGGGTGTTTAGAAAGAGTATTAGGAAAACTTGTTTCACCAAAAAGCTTGTTAAGCATTGGAACAGGTTGCCCAGGGAAGAGGCCTAGATGCCATCCCTGAAGGTGTTTAAAAGATGTGTTGATGTGGCACTTGGGGACATGGTTTAGAGCTGAACATGGTGATGCTGGGCTAATGGTTGGACATGATGATTTAAAGGTCTTTTTCCAACCTAAACGATGCTGTGATAGTATTCTAAGATCTAGCTGCACTAATTTTGGTCACCTTCTCTGTCACTGAAATCCTTATATACATCCTGGAAATCTTTGGAAAGACCTTTAACTTTTCCTTTTAAAGTAGAATAAATCTCTACTAGTCTGTTTTAGTAGGTCTAAAATTTTGCTACCATGTGCAAAATTAGAAAAAGTTCGACTCTCTCAATTCTAACAACTGCTAAACAGTCCATTCTTTCAAATTTTCTTACTGTCTGAGGCAACTGCAACCTTTTAGCAGTCTTTGAGTTGAATAATACAGTTGCAGTAGAAAAAAAACCCACATAAAACAAGACAATAGAGGAATGGAAGGATTTGTGTGTGTTACTTATGCATAAGTATTTTTAATACAATGGAAATAAGTTGAAGAATTGTAATTTAGATCCAGATAATTATATTCAGTAGTATGTGGTTTCCAGAATTTAAACGTTTGGGTTACATAGATAAAATAGTTTTAATGTTATTTTGGGAATTGCACTTTAAGTCTTGGAAATCTTCAGGGGTTTAGTAGACAGCTCTCCTCTTCTAGGAATCCTACCTGTTTACAAAAAAACACCACAGGGTTTCATTTTGCAAAGTTCCTGGAAATGACTAGCTAAGAACCATCTTCTTAGCACTATTGTTCAAATGATATGGTTATTGGTTTAACTTTTCTTTTGGTATTAGGCTTTTAAAATGGTTTGGTGTGCATTACAGATGGTTATTGGAAACACAGATGAATGAGAGAACAGATTCTTTAAATACAAGGAGAATTTATGATACTTCTCTGAAGGGTGGAATGTTTAATAAAAACATTGGGCTGCCTTTTCAAAAGGAAATTGTTAAGATCTTAGAAAAAGATTAGAGACTCTACACCTAGAACCAGAGGAATATTGCCATTGTTTGCCTGCAGTGTAAGTGTGCTGGTGATGTGTCAAAGTTTGCTTTCTATTTTTAGAAACTACTACTGATCTTTTCTTTCTTAGGACAGGAGATAGGCTTCAAAAGTTAATCAAGCTATAGTGCAACAGTAGTTGAAATACAGTGGAGTTCAGACTTCATGCATAAGACATTTATTCACAGAGTTTTGTTACGTATAAGAAGTGAAATATATTGTGGATCCTTGGGTTTAAACAAATGCAATGTCAATATGGAGTCAATAGAATAGAAGCTGATAGTAAGCATGTATTTATTTATTTTTAAATAAGTGAGATTGTTGAAGGTCACGAAGAGTTATTATTTGAGCAAGGAGGATCAGCTGAAGGAGTATGAATGTATATTTATAATAAAATGATATTGCATGAAAGCTGCTGAAATTCATCAGTTTAAAAGAAAAGTAAAATGAGAAGTTCAGTTAATTTCTGCAGATCTGCAAAAACTTTAGAAACTTCCAGACTGGCAGGTTTTATGTATCATTTTATATATGAGCCAGTAGAATGAATATAACTTATTGCTGCAGGTTATATAACCCCTTCAAATATACAGCTGAATCTCTGAACCAGTAAATAATTAGCATTTTATATAATGTACTTCATATAGTACTACAGTATTAACACAGCTACAATGAAAATTTCTCTGCCTGGGGCAGGTTGAAACAAATTTTGCTAATATCAATAAGGCTAACTGTGATAAATTCATAAAAGAAAGTTTGATCTAGGTTTCAAGGCGTAATTTGATAAACAAAGTATAAAAATACTGTTGGTCAGTTCACATATAATATACTAAGAGTTTTTATTAATCTTATTATTTTTGTTTTTGCAATGAAAGATGGTTAGATGAATGTCAAGATGATGGGAAAACTGAAAGGGAGCTAACTGCCAATGGTAAGTATTTTGTTAAAAGAAAAAATTGTGTTATAGCACTATATTATAGGCTTAATGTCCAGTTATTAAGAAGAACTCTTCCAGATGAGACCATAACTTAAGAAGAAAAGTGATAATAAAGCTCATTCAAAATTGTTTTTCCTCTTCATATTTTAGAGGACAGCAGTTCAGTGAAGGCATTCCTCAAAGGTAAGAGTTTTTTTCTAGCCAGTATTTTCTATATAATAGTTTTTGCTGTTTGAATTTAACCTGCAAATCTGTATTGTGACAAAAATGTAAGCAAGTGACCTCATTTGTATATGTTTTATACTGCATATCAGCTGTATGAACAAAAAGAGAAATTGTCTGGCAACAGTCTGCAGAAGGGAATAGACCTCGATAACCAATTGAGAAAAACATAAACCATTTCTTGTTTTCTTCATATTTCTACTCTTCTGTCCTGAAATCAACAAGGTATTCCTCTGAGAAGAGATTCAAGTGTTGCTTTGTTTACCCCAGCGTCACTGTCATTTAATACTTTGGGACAGGTGCCCTAGCAAACATCAGCAAGTTGAAAAATGTGTTGTGAAGTGTCAGTAGAAGCATCTTCAGGTCAAAATCCCAAAGTAGCCAGAAATAATGCAGCTTAAACTCCAAATCCCCTAGAGAAGCTAAATGTAGTATATGCATTCAGTTGACTAAATCTGCTTGAATTATTAAAAAAAAAATAATAAAAAACTACCCACCTAGCCTTCTGGTTTTATACTTACAATCTCATCGATGTAATACACTAGTTCCTCCCAGGTATTTAAAATTTGAGATACCATCTCTGCATTCCTTCTTAACCAGAAAAGAGACACAGACCGACACAAATATTTTTATGAACATTTAACTGTAAATGGCTATTCCATGCCTTGACATTTTATGGAGAAACTAAACTAAAAAATGTAATGTTTACATTTGCCTCTTAAAACAGTGACTTACCTTCTGTAGAATGAGTCCTAGTCTCTCAATCTAATTCCAGTTTCAGTGAAAATCAAATGATTTACATTCAATCAAACAGTTTAGCCAATAGTTTTATTGTCCCATGGCAACATAACTTTGACAAGAGGAGACTGATGAAATCAGGTAAGTAAAGGCTTTCCCACATAGAAAGTTAATTTCACAAGTGACTTGGAGTAAGATTTTTGATTCTACATTCTGCTAAGTGTACAGTTCAGAGAGGCAACCATAATATCTATTTCACCTTATGTTCAGATAAGAGACTATATTTTACTACCAATTCAAATTTTTCCCAGTGCAGCTTCATTCTTCATTACATTATAATAAGCAGGCATAGATGCATAGGCTGCTCAGTCCCTTGAGTGTCAACAGTGGTTAGACTCAAAATATTGGATATGAGAAGAAAGGAGTGGCTTATTCTTAATCAGCTTTTGATATGCCACACTGCCAAGATGTCCAGTAGGACCCAGAGAGAGTTGAGATCAGAGGTTCTGAAAAGTTATTATAAAATTATAAAGGAGAAGAACATTTTTAGGAAGTTATATGCCAGTTTAGCTTGAGTTATATGCAGCTTAAGTTACATGTAGCTTAACTTGAGTTGCTCTTCAGCCATCTTTGTTTTACCCAGGGGCTCATTCCAGTGAGGAACTGAGATAGGTGAGATTGGACTTATGTGCCTTATGTGAAAAAGATCATGAGTAGGACTGATTTCAGGATTTTCACCATTTAATTTGTGTTGTCATTCTAGTGATCCCATGGACCTTGCATGTCTGAGCTTTATAGGAGGGTAACAACCACCAGAGGTTTGGAAAGATATCTTGTACTCAGTTCTGTGTCAGTCTATCATAATAGAGTGCCTAAGTCAGAGCTGATAAGAGAAGATGAGAACATTCCAGAGATGGAGAGTCTTGGAAGAAAAAATAATTGTCTTCGATTCTCCCAGCATCTGTATCAGTGAATATTTCACATGGTACAGTAATGAGAAGCAGAGCCATTCAGAGTGAAAGCAAAATTTTTTGTAATAATATAGTTTTACTGAACAAGGGGCAAGCAGCAGTCCTGATGTTAGGGAGACAATATTTTAGGCATTCATGTGGTCATACTCTGTATGAGCTGCAGTCCGCAAGTGGGCTTCAAAGAAAGTCACAAAAAGTTGACTGGCGTAATTCAGTATTGTTTGGTGATTTTCAGGATTAGATCAACATCCTTAGGCCAGGTCTAAAGCAAAGGTTACAGAACAAAATAATTTTATAAGTCACTCTGAAGGTCAGAAATCTCATTCACTTTGGATGGGGCTGGTAACCTGTTCAACCACCTAGCCAAAGAGTAGACTTTGAAAGTCATCATTGCCAGATAGGTTACTTGAGGGCTTTTGTCCTTTGTCAGCCAGGCTGGCATTATGCCAGCTTTAACGAAGCTTTAATCCCCAATCCCTGTGACTGTTGCTGCTGGCTATGGATTCTGCCAAAATGCAGTATGCCCATATCAAGTTTCCTCAGTAACCTTTATACACTTGTAGACTGCAGAGAGGCTCTGGCAAGTCGGGAATAGGAATAGATTTATTTGTATTCCTCTGATTCGTCCTTGTATATTTGATGCAAGGTAAAAAGAAGAAGTGTATTGCCCTGGTAGAGAAAGCAGACAGGTGCTCTCGGCTCTCAAATGATAGAGTTGATTTGAGGGAGAATGGAACTTAACAGCACGCTCTAAATGTTTTCCACATTGTAAGGATATTTTACTACTTTCTCCTCCTATTTTCTCTATTTATTTTCCTTTTCTGCCTCAAAGTAGATGGAGTTTCACACATAGGAAAGGATTTTCTCTCAAAGCAAGAAGTCAAGGCACAACATATTGTGCCGTCCCCATATAATGCTGTCCCCACTGCAGTCAGTTAAAAGGAGCTGGGTTCTTCTAATATGATTCCAGTAGGGTGTCCTGTGGTTTTTTTAGCTTTTGTGGGTGGTGAATGAAGTGTGGTTCAACATTAATGAACAGAGTTCAGTTTATAGGTATTTCTAGGTTGGCTCTTCTTGTGTTGTGCAAAGTTGTTGGTATTAAGGCATATAGAAAATTCTTAAGAAAAGAGAAAATATTCAGTAAATACTGCTGTTACTAATTCTGTTTTAAAATTATTCCCTACTTTGCAAGCACTTACTAATAGATTAAGAATAATCACAGAATTCCCAAATTTTAAGTGGAATGGTCCTGCTTCTAAAAAGCATAGACAATATGTATTTCCATATGGAGGCAGAAATCCCTAAGAAAAAGAATTAAGCAGACTGACTGCTCTGCCTCAAGGCAATACAAATTTCTACAATCTTCAGGAAATAAACAATTTACTCCTACATCCAGCAAAGTGTGAATGTCATCCTAGGTCTTAAGACCAAAAAACACCAGAGTAAAAAAAAAAACCAAAACCTAACTGGAATAATGTATTTTTAGAAAAATTTTGGCAATCCTCTAAAAATACATAAATTACTCATATTTTAAAATCTAGAAAAATAGCCCATTCTTTTTCTGTTTTCTGAATTATATTATGAAATGTTGACTTTATATTTTACCATGCCCAGATTGCTATGTGCAGAAGTCATTGCAGGTTCAATCTTCACACTTTTACTGGAGGAACATTCAGGTTCCAGACTAGTGGTTAAAAGAATTTCTGGAAGGAAATTGTTATGACTTATCCCATTTAATTTCTGAAAGTCAGTAGATGACCCTTGCTTCTAGCATATCTCTGTATAGATCTCTGTAATGTGAAATCAGATCCTTGGCTATATCATCATAAAAAGGGACAATTCTATATCCTTTTCACAGGATTCTGTTTTTTCCCTACTATTCATTTTAGTGATTCTCACACTCATTCTCAGAGTAAATGGCTATGGTTTTTCACATTAGCCAAGAGTACAATAATACACTAACACAATAATCACTCTGAAAGGAAGCTAACATAGTTCCGTGATATCAGGGGAAAAGTCTCTTTTTTAGTGATATGTGGCCGCACAAAATAACCTTCTCAAGCCCAGCTATCTGATTTTCAGAACTTTACTCCTAGAGAAACTACGAAACACAATAAATATTTGGCATCAATCTCCTGGCTGGTGTATCCATCCTTGCCAAGTAGCTGTCTAAGTGAATAGAATATTAGACAATGGATTTTTTTTTTTTTTATTCTGGCATAAGCAGGTTAAATGAATTTGCTGAACTGAAAGAAGATGCAGTCAGCCTGGGTTAGCTCGGTTGCCAAACTGTAGAAGTATTAAAAGTAAATGTAGGAGAAAAAAGAGTCACAGATGCTAAGAGGTCTTAAATCTGTAACCATTGATTTATTTTTTGGAAAACTCCCAACTGGTGTCATAGCTTTGCTTCTGAAATAATAATTAAAAACACAATCATGGTTATTAATTAAAATAAATCACCTTGCCCAAAATACCTTCTCTGAATGTGCTGCCTCTTTGAGGAGGGAACAGGCAGTTATGCATCTGTGAGTTCTCTTAACTTGGGAATAACTATTTCCTGGAGCAGAGGGATCTTACAAAGACAGAAAAAAAGCTCACTTGGGAAACACAGAAATGCAAAATTATCTTATTTTTCTCTCTGCTGTGTTCCTGGGACAGCCTTCAAAATGGGGCATGGTTGGACAGGATAAGAGATTCAGGGCTACGCTGGAAGTCTTTGTAAAAATTTGAAGCTCCTTATAAACCCTCAGAGTGATCAGGAACAGCAAAAGCTCAAACCATGCTTGACTTCACCAAGTGTGACACCCTGAAGAGTACCACATGCCAACCTGGCACACGGAGATAAAATTCAGAGCTGGCACATATATCAAACAGCAAAAGTTCCTCATTAGGCAAAGTGTGGATCTTCCACACACTACATCTGACTCATTGCTGGAAATGACCTCAAAAAAGGAGTTCAGATGGAAGGATCCTTTCAGCTAGTGTGTTACTCAGAAGACTGACTGTGAGATGTGTATTTGCCTGCTGTTTTGTAGTTGAGCCCAGAAGAGTCAGGGAACAGTCAGATGAAATGCAGAAACACGTTCTATAAAAAGCAGAAAGATAGAACTAGCTAAAGAAAAAAAGGTGAAAAAAAAGGAAAATTATAAATCAAGGAAACCAGTTCAGGTTTTCATCCAGTCTCCATCTCAAAGCAGAAGAAGGAAAAAAAAAGGTATGAAAAAAGCACAGAGTACTGCAAGAAAAAAAATCACATCCAATTTATTTCTTCATTGAATGATTCTAAAATTTATTTTATTAACATATTGTTTTGTAGGCTTACATACAAACATGAAATAGTTCTCTTTTTTATTAATCCCATTAATCCCATATCATCAGAGTACTGGTCACAGTCAACATAAACTTTTGATTTCCTTCCGCTGTTAAATTCCTTTTGGTATGCAGAACCAAGTGTCTTTTCAACACATAATTCATTTGAATTCAAAGGATGATTTATCTTCAAGCACTAAGTAACTTCCTAACCTATACTGTCCACTACAACACTTGTATTTTTCCCCACACATGGAATAGCTTCTTAGTTGCTTTCTGGACTTCTAACACTGTTATGAGTACAGGTCATATACCAAATAATTATCTCTGAAAGGCCTAAGCCATGAGCTGAGGTCAGTGCAAACATCTCTTCAGAATTCCCTAAATTTTGTATTCAACCCTAGCGGATAATCTGGTCTGACAAATGAGTAGACTGAACATGACAAATAAGCTTAGAAAAATGGTAAAAGAGAAGTTGGAAGTTTCGTTGCTTAAATAGTTGTGTATTAGCCAGCAGGTCTTACAAAAAGACCACATACAGGTCTTTCAGAATGTTAGTTTTCCTTTTCATGTTACAAAAAAAACATTTTAAGAACTGAAATTTATTAGAATAATTACTTTATTAAAGCAACTATTTTGTTATAAAGAATGCAAAAAAATTCCCAACAATCTAGGCAGAGTCTTTTTCCTGCTTCCTCAGTGTTAATTTCTGCTTTCATACCTACTTTGACAATTGTGATTATCAAATCTAAGTTATTTTCAAGAGAAAGAATTTCTACCGGTCTATCTTTATTAAATAGGATGTAAGTTCATGGTAATCTTTAAATTCCCTGTTGCAATAGTAACAAAGGCATCCGTTGGTCTCTACCATTGATACTAAAAATGTTTAACTGATACACTGATATTAAAGATGTCTTTATTTTATTTAGCACAACGGTGGAGAGTGCAGGTTAAAACAGATGGAGATTCCCCAGAGCCACAGGAGTGTAAGAGGACCCTTGTGATTTATGGCTCAAAGGGCAAAAGTGATGAGCTTCTGCTTTCTCCACAAACCCCTGGCTATGTGTGCTTTCTGCCCAGAGCAACTGATGAATTCACTGTAAGTCATAAATATACAATACTACACAGACCTTATCATGACATTACCATATAGGTGATATATATATATATATATATATATATATATATATCCATCCGTGTGTGTGTGTGTACAAAACTAACATCATATATATATAACGTTACCATCATATATCTATAACGTTACTTTGGGAAAAAAAATATGTAATTATTTACAAAGATGGAATGACATGAGTTTAGGTCTTGGACCATCTCCTGCTGGTAGTCCTGTTCTACTATAGCAAGCTCCAGTGTTCTCTTTGAATTTTCAGTGCCTTCAAGGGCAGAAAAATGGACCCTTTTTTGTAATTTATTGCATTTGCCAGCTCACCTTGCATTTTTTTCTAATTCCCTAAAGATTCCTGAGTTGAAGTTCATTCAAAAGGCAATATACAATTATTTGTGAATGCACAAGATGAAGGATTTGGCAGCATTCCCAGGGGACTTCAATGGGCTTTTCTTTCCTTTATTTCCATCTTTGTAAAGTAGTATCCACTCTCCCCCAAGATAGTTCTGTCTCTCAGACCAGCAGGCAGAGAATTTTTCTGGATAATCATAAATCACTGGAGAATGCATTCATGCATATAAAAGTGTGATGAACTCTGCAGCAATAGATTATATACGGCCACTATTAAAATCAACCCTAACACAGTCCTGACCGCCTGTACACCTGACACCCATGCTGCTGCTTTGAGAGGATTCATCTGAAACATCTTTCTAATGTTCAAATTCTATCCTGGCTTTCTAAGCTCAGTCACTGCAAATTCTGTTGATTGGCAGCTTCTAGCCAGCAAGATGAGACAAATAGCTTGCAATTCAAGTCAGTGTTATACAGCTCAGAAAGACTTTTCAATGGCTGCAATAAACATTCTGAAAACAATGGCAAGAGTACATTTAGAAAATTATGTCAAGGCGTCATTGTAATGACCCGATCCAGGCTGAATTTTTAGTTTAAATAACAAGCCAAAGCAATTTAGGAACTTTATGGGGAGTAAATGAGAAGATAAATGGCATTTCTTAAAGACAAGAAAGCAGCTGCTTATCAAAAAACACACAGGAAACACATTGAGAAACAAAAGAAGCTTCCAAACTGAAGAGGTCATTAAAGGCAGAATCTATCTATGGAGCAACCACACCAGCTGACTGAATTTTGGGAAGAATCATTGCATAAAGTAGACCTTTGTTGCACCCAACAAGTTGGTAATTTCCCAAATGTCACGTATTCCTCTTTAAGGTTGCCTAACTTCAATGATTGGTACTACACTGGAGAAATTAGTATTGCTGTGTGTCAGTCATGGTTGTCCCTCATAGTCCACCGTCCTAGACACCACAGTACCTTACCCATCGTACCCTTCCACCCCAGCAGCTTTGTGAATGCTTGTTCAGACTTTGGATTGGTTTTGGTTTAGTGTTTATATTTTCTCCACAGATATTTGTGTCCTTGTTTTTATTGCTTTGTATGAAGGAGTTAATACTATTTGAGCGTTATTTAGTGTGCATGAAATTTCATCCCTTTGCCACATTACTTACAGCATAGCTTACAGAACAAGCAGGTCTGATATAAAGGGTCATTTGGGGATTCACAGATATCTCCATAAATAACTTCCTATCTTCCTTAGGTGGTTGAGCTAATAAACCCAGTTTCTTCTTGCTCTCCCCTTCTTTGTTCTTACTAAGACCATGCAAAAGAATGCAGAAGCTTTGCTCATGTTTTCTCACTGTAGCAGCAGGCTGGAGACATGAGCATATCACAAGGAGGACAAAGTGAATTCAGCTTTTCAACAAGCAGGAGTAAATGAACTTTTAAACACTACCCCCCCCCCCCCCCAAGATCCTGGTCCTAGACAAACATCCTTAGCAATATAGTGCAGTTAAAAGAACAACAGGTTATGTGCTATAAGCAGCTCACATAGTTTTGAGAGAGTAAGCTTAATTTTGATCTCAGAGATACGTTTATTGCACACTGAGGACAGAAAGGCATCTAAATTCCTGATTTTCCAGGTGCTCTCACACAAGTATATGCACAGATGTGTATCATATTCAGAATGATTATTCGATCCAAAATATGTCCAACCAAATCCTATGAAAGAACAGGTGTAGTTTAATTGCACATAGCAAGCATAAGGAATAAATTAAAAGAGAGAAAATAGCAGTATGCTACACTTGGGTTTCAGTAGTCTCAGAAATCCATAGCAGAGTGTTTGAGCTGGTTAAATAAGAATAAATTTATTTAGAACACCTTAATTTTAAAAAATAGATTTAGAAATAGGTGATTGTGTCAACATTATGAGGTTTTATGGGAGTTCTAGCATTGAAGCATGGCAAGAAATGAGTGCAGTAGCAAAAGTTTTTGTCTTTGATAGTCTGGTGATGGTAAAAATCAATTGCTGGTCTCACATGGAATAAGTAGATTTGTAAAGTATATAGATCTTCCTCTCAGTCATCTGTGTTTCTTGGTTGCATGCAGAGTAAGCTTGTCAGAACATGTCTTTGGAGAGTCCTAGTGTATTGTGCACATTCTCTTATTCAGAGAACCATAAAACACGAAGATACATCAACTGACAGATTGTGAGATTGGGATCCCTAAAACTACTCTTGAAAACACTATCACAGGTAGTACAAAATGAGCAGCAGAGCTCTGCAAGTAGGACTGTTTGTAAATACACAGTAAGTATGGAATTTATTTTGTGTTAAGAACCATGAGGTGACAGAAAGTTTCAAATCACATAATACAATACTCCATGTGTTTGACACAGTATGAGATGATGCTCCAAACAACAAGCAGCAGGATTTCTGGGGTATATGACAGAAGGCTCTTCATCTGAATTTTAGAGTGCTTTGACCAAACCTTATTAACTAGAATAATTTATGGATTTTTTTCCCTTTTTTTTCTTTCTTTTTTTTTTTTTTTATAGGGAAAAGAGTTGAAAATAATTAAAAATAATCTAATTTAAATTTGCCCCCAAACAGTAGAATTTACAAAGCTTTAATTACATTAGGCATGATGTTTTTGAGAAACCCTGTGTGAGTCAAAATTAAAAGATTTAAATTGTTATGAAATTCTCTGATCATCTTCATCAGTTACCTGTCTCTGAGATATTCAAAAATCCAGTGCCTTTGTCAGAGCTGTCTCTTGATTATAAGACATGCTCCTTTCAGTCATGTAATAGAAAAAGTAATGTTGTTTAGTATACGACAAATCACATCCAACTCACCTAAAGTTTCAAGTTCTGGATATTACATAAAACTGCTCAGAAGAAATAAATATGGAAACATTAATTAGGAAATTATGATAATGAACAAGGTAAAGTGTCCTCTTGCAAGCAGTCTACAAATTTAAAACAAGGATATTCACTGGATATATACTTTGTGACGGATTATAGTTCTATCTCTGCTTCGAAGTTCATGTTACATCAATTAATAGCCATCGATGGAGGGAAAAGCCAATTATGGGATCAAAGAAAATATATCATATTCCAAAGAATAGCTGTTCATATTAAATTGCTCAGAAAAGGATTACAAGAATGATGTAATGGTAGCACTGGGTTGCAGTGATGGAGCTGAACAAAAAAGACTGGCCAAAACTGTGGGGGAAAAAAACTAATCCGTGAAAAAAAGGGAAATATCAAACAAACTAAGTTGAAAATAGTTGATGTTTAATTCCAAATTTGTAAACTGTATGATTATTAGTGCTTGGTGGTTCAAAGGGAGTCACAGAAATAAATGAAGTTGTGATTCTAGAAACAAAAGGGACAACTGTGGTTCTTAAATAGTCTGTCCTGTATTATGGGATTATTTTCCTATATATCTCATCTGTGCATGTCCTACAAGCATTTTAGCACATGTATTTATGGCAACTTGGACACCAAGAGAATTTCAAATTTGGGTAGCAGAAAACAAAGTAAAATGTGCGGTACAGCTTACCTTGTCACATAAAAATAGCCAACTCCTGTACTTCTGCAACTCCCAAACAGAGAGCTTTGTGGAATAAGTTGTTCACAGCATTTAGAGCAGCTGTGTGATACAGTCATGGGGGTCCAAGTATAAGAAAGAAAATCTGCAGGTTGTAATTTTAAAAGTCTGTAGTCTGGTTCTGGAAGGGAGGAAGCAATAATTTTGTTGCTTGTGAAAGGATCATAGTTTAAATGGGTGAAGAACCTGTGCACTCTCCTCTCAATGAACCCAAATAATTCCCATTCAGTTTAATAAGGTGGAATGCATATTTTACAAGGAATTAGTCCACTTAGTCCACCATAGCTAATGATACACAGCTAATGATATCCTTTGCAACACAGACAACATGAATGAAAAAATCTTGATGTGAAATTCTGCCCTCGTATTTCACTTTTTATAGTGCAGCAGTCGAGACCAAGTCAGGAACAGCCTTAAGTTCTGTAAGCATGAATGTGTACAGACAGGCAGGGCAGGGTAGTTTTGGAGGGAGGACAAATCTGATGCCCTCTTCAGTGTAAAACTGATGCTGTGTGACTGTTATGAGTGCTGTGGAGTTACAGATCAGGAACTGAGAGGTTCCATGCAGCCTTAGGGCTGTTACATAGACAATAGGAAGCATTTCTTCCCTGATCCTTAAAAATAATGTCTTGAATACTGAAAATTTGTAGATGTGGCATGCCAATCACTTATAACACTTAGCTTGAGAAATTCAGACTGGAAGGGATCTTTTAAGTCAACAAAAGCAGTTCCTTCCTACCAAAGGTCTCTCTTCATAAGTTCTACATCATAAACAGTTCAAGTTCCAGTAAAATGGTTTGGGCAAGTTGCTTTATTTTCACTTCCGTTCTTCTTCATACTCTGATGTTTTAATATTTCTCATTTGCATAACAGTTATTAATGATGGTGGTCAACTGTTCCAAAATTACAAACCCACATTTTTTATATGGTTCCTCTCCAGTAAGAATAAGGTAGCTGCTACTTCCCTACATGTATATGTCCACTGTGCAAATACACATGAACTACCTTTAAGCAAGCAAGGTCAGCAGTGAAGGGCTGTCAAATTCAGAGGTCTGTTGAGAAGCAGAATAAATCATCTATTAGGAGGTCTGCGCTCTATTTTAGGAGCCAATCTGCTGCTGATGTTGCTAATTCCAAGACATGACTGTGTAAGTCTAACTTCAATTTGTTGCTATGATGCTATAGGGTGCACAAAGGATTTACTTCCTGGAAAGTCACCAAATCTTATGTTGTGACTGGTGTGAGAAAAAAAAACAAACAATATAGGAGGAGAACAAGGCCACCGGCAACATTTCCTGCTTTGATCCTTCTTAAAAATAATTGTTACCTTTTAAAAATTACAGTTCTGTGTTGTTTCAATCAAAAAACACTTCCCACCCTGTCCTTCTTGCAGTTTCCCAGTGAAAGGCTGTCACTGTTCGTAAAACTTAACAAGCAGTGGTTAAGGTCATGCAGATCATTAGCACTTCATTCAATTTAACCATCCCAGTTCCCACAGCTCTAGGTTGGACAGTTTAATAAGCCCACAGTCATCAACCAGTTATCAAATTTCCCATATGTAGTATGGGAACAGAACTGTGTTGTCCTACAGCGTTATTTCTGTGACATTCATGATTTATTTTTTATTCAGTAATATTGCTTGTCTTTTACAAAGAATTATAAAGTAGTGTCATGTTCTAAACCAAATCATGAAGCAAATGGGAATTTAGTTAAAACTTTCTAAAATTCCATCATCTAAAATTAAAATTCATTGAAAATTTCTTCACCAAAGGGGTTGTCAGGCACTGGGAACACACTGCCCAGGGCAGTGGTTGAGTGATACTTCCCTGGAAGTAGTCAGAAGATGTGTAGATGTGGCACTCAGAGACATAGTATAGTGGTGGGCTTGGCAGTGCTGGGTTAATGGCTGGACTTGATGACCTTAAAGGTCTTTTGGAACTTAAATCTGTGATTCTAGACTCTCAGTAATCATCATTAAAGTAATACCTCACTTGACTGCTGATAATAGAACCTCTAATTGTAAGCTAATGCTCTCTCTATCCATTAGGGTCACAGCTTTATGTTAGATTTGTCTAAAGAGCCTAAATGCACAAGCCTTTCTGATTTTAACCTTAACTCACTCTGAAGGTAAGGGATCAGGCTTACAATACTAATAAGAGAGAAAATCTCACCCATGATCATACCAAAAAAAAAAAAGAAGGATTGATTCTCTCATCACACATATCCCAGCCTCAGATTCAACTTTTCCATTGGTTACTGTTAAATTTAGGAATTCTACACAGGGATTTGGGAAATCTCTGAAAGTGAACCAGCCTTGACAGTACATTCTTCCTCATCCCATTTGTTGCAGGTTGAGACTGGAGATCTGGGAGACATATACAAGCTTCGAGTCAGCTGTGATGATGTGCCAGGCTTTGAGGGTTGGCATCTGAAGTCTTTTTGCTTAGAAGAGTTACACACAAAACAAGTGCTGAACTTTGACTGTAACTGCTGGCTCAGAGAAGACAAGGAGCTGGTGAAAGAATTCCCTGCAGTCACCAAGGACCAGAAAACTTTACCAGGTAAAACCACTGAGAAGATACAAATGCTGTAAATTAACTGCTTGAAAATAAAACGATGCCGCACATATAATGCAGTGCTTTGTCTGGATTTGATATCTTTGGTGGCTCCATTGCAACCTTCTTCATATATGCAGTGCAAGAATGCTGACCACTTAAGAAATTTTAATTTTCCAGTTACGTTGCATATTGGGTTTTACAGTTGCTAACTCTTCTGCCTGATTCTCAGTGTGCAAAATTGAACAGTATAATTATACTTATAAAGAAAAGCACATGTTCAAAGCCATGGAAATAATTTGTTGTATAGTTACTATTTAATTAGTACTGAATGGCTTTTAATAGATTTACTTACTAACATAAGTATCAGAAGTAACTCTCATTGTACAAAAAATTTCTTTTTTTTCCCCCTAAGGACTACTTTTTTGCCATGCTGAGAGTTTCAGGGTATATTTGGAGGTGCTCTTGGATTGCGAAGACTTGTAGAAGTACTGCATTTATTCAGAAAAGTTAGCAGTTACACATGAGATAAAAGTAATTAGAGACTTGACTGCTTCGCTAAAGTTCCAGAATTTTCAGTCTGTGAATACCTCAAACCTATTCATGACCTTAAAAGCAAGTATAGTGTTACATCAGTTAAATGTTAACTCAGGAGGACTGTACATTAAAAATGACATTTGAAAAATTTTGGTGATTCTTTCTGTGTTAGGATGAATATATATGCAATTTAATGATCTTATGTAAAACCCCAGACTCACCTCATGAGCTCATCGAAGGGCTTTTGTACCAAAAAGACATAAGGCCCCCAAAATCTGCCCAATGATTTCATTAGAGGGGCCTTAAGTTCTTGTACACCTTGGGGCCACATGCGGGAAAAACGTGATGATGTTTTCAGGAGGTCAAAATAACAGACTTTCATTTTCCAACTTTGAAAAATAAGGGAAACTCAGTAAAAGCTTAAAGCAAACATTCAATCAACATAAAGTATTTGACAAAACACCGACTTAGCAAATTCCAACCAATCCAGATTTAAGTCGGGAGAGGGAGAGAAAGAAAGAGTTATATCTACTGCCCTAAATCCACTGTAGAACCAGCTACCACAAATCCAAGGGCAACAGGGCTGTGACCAACAGTCAAGCCTCATGGTGTTTGATGGTTTTACTTACTCTGGACTGCTGTGGCCACCCCTCCCCCGCCACCTCTGCCCCAGGTGGAGCTTCCAGTCTGCCAACCATGTGGCATCTGGGGTAGGGGCTCCAGGGGGTCTGTTGTGGGGCAGTGTTCCTGTTTTTCCAATGACTGAGAGCTCCACTGAAGACTCTCAAGGAGGTGAGGTACAGGGTCAGAGCACCATTCCACCTTGGCAAAACCAATCTGCCTCCCTCCCCGCCCCTGCCAAATTGTTGCAAGCTGGTAATAACTTTTTTTTTTAGTCTCTCACATCTTCATCAGAAGAAAATCCAATCTGACTGTAGAAGTTCATTTATACAGGAGCAATATAGAGACAAAGAGTTTATAGTTTCCTTCCTTAATTTAATAAGTGCATTTTGTAAAATTTTTGTACATGTATGTCATGTCATGCATCCAGATGATATGTTATATCTGTCTCTCTTATTCTAACTTGCATTACCTTTTTCTTCTTTGACCTGTGTTAGTTACTATTTACTGCAAAGATAATTCAGTTGCTGACAGGCCCTGAACTAACTCAGATGAATTCTTATTTTCCAGATCTTGCACAGTAAAATAGAACCAGACAGAATTTATCTAGATTTTAGTAGCTTAAGCTACAGAAGTCTAAATTGTCCAAAGTCCAATTTCCTTCAAATTTCTAGTAAAATTAATAGAAAGCCTTCTTTGAGCTTAGCATTACAATCACTGAATAATAGATTTTTTGGTAGCTGCAGAAATAAAAACAAGGAGTAGTCTAACTCTGTGTTGCTGTTTTATTTTAAATATACCTTGTACTTAATCAGCTTTTTTTTTTTTTTCTCCTTTTGTACAGTCTATAAGTATGTTGTCTCTGTGCATACTGGTGATCGCTGGGGAGCAGAGACTTTCGCAAATGTTTATATCACTCTCTATGGCAAAAGAGGGGACACAGGTGTGAGGAAACTTCATAAATCTTTAACAAAAGGAAGAAAATTTCAAAGAAATAAGGTAACAGTACTAAAATGTGAACTTACATGTGCAGGGGTTATAGCACTGCCTTAAGTGTCACTTAATGCCTGCTCTGAATATATCTGGCTACAGATAGGCAAAAATTTTGAAACATTCACAGAATTTATCATCCAGATATTCACAGCAGACCAATTGTAGAAGAACATTCCCACATGACAATAAAGGCTCCACATGAGCACATACAAAGCAGATTACTGAGAAGAACCTCTGTGATCACGCTTCTGACTTCTTCTGTTCCAACTTTAGGACAGCATAGGTAAAAGAGAATTAAAAAAAATCAGTGATTCACAATATT